TTTAAAATAGAGAACAATAATGTTAATGAGGAACAGATTTGAATTCAATAATGAGGAATAATTTGTTAACTTTAATGATGTTAGAAATAAGATAAATGAATCAGATACCAAGAGAATTCAAGAAGAAATTAAGTAATAGCCTACATGAGATGCTCCTGTAGTAGGCGGAAAAAAAGAAAAAATTCAACCACTCATTTATTTAACAAATTACTTAAAATACATCAGATCTAAAATTCCACTCCTCTTTATTATTCATCAGAAAACAGTAGGCTCTTCAATGTGAGCAGTACTATTCAGATGGACAGTTTTATCGCTTCTTGGCCTTTTGGCGAAAATCAAGTGTAGCACTAGATGAAAAGTTTGGAATTACTGCCAAACATGACAGTAGACTAAATAAAAGAGGGCACAAGCTGGAATCTATACAATGGAAGCAATTTGTTTTTATTTTTTTGGGGAACTGGGGATTGAACTCAGGCCCTTGTGCTTGCCAGGCAAGTGTTTATTCTACTAAGCCATCGCCCTGGCCCCAAAGGAAGCAATTTATACAAAGGAAACAATCATGACAAAAGTTGCACACTTGCCTGACTACCTAATTGCAAAATGCTATGAATGATAAAAAATTATCTTAGAACTTTTATAATGGTGTATATTAACCTTAATATATACTTTCTGCTTGATGTGTACAAATCAATACTCATAATCACTCTATGGTATCAATAATCTTAAATAAAAATATAAATTACAAAAATACCACATGCATGTGGTTTTATTGAATTTCTCTCTTACCAATCATAACCTACTGCAAAAGATGTCTCAATCACAGGAGCAATAAGTTTTGCAGCTGTCATGATGTACTTTTCTGCCATGGCTTTCCTAATATAAAGAAACAAGTTTTATTTAGAAATATGATATAAAATGCTTACATTTAAGTACAAATATCATCTGTCAAAGCTAACATAGCACAGAAGCTTATTAAACAATGGAAAGCTATACAAGAAATATGTTTGCAGGCCCCTGGGTTCTGGGGCCAGCACGGCATGCAGTACCTGGGATGTAACCCAGGTCCTTGCACTTGCCAGGCAGATTCTTAGACCACCGAGCTATCTCCCCAGCCCACTTGAGACTTTTATAGATAAATGGATACAACTTGAGATCATACTTAAAAGTGAAATAGATAAAACTCACATGTGTAAACATCACATTGTCTCCTTGGTGTGAGAAACTAAAAAGAGTAAGTTCTAAAATGGAAAATCC